GATTCTAAGCTTAGATCATCAATAAAAATATATATATATATATATATATGATCTTAAAATTCACTATAAATGCATTTGCTTTTTCTGTACTGCTACTTTTGATTTTCATCTCCTAAGATGGCTGCTTAATTATTGCTATTTTCATCTCCTATTCTAAGATGGCTGTTTAATTATTGCTTAAGTTGTTTCAGCAGCGCGTAAGTTTGATTCCAGTATGTTGTCTCTTGTTTGTGCATAGCTGTCTTTTTTTAAATTATCAGTACCCTTGGTCCTTCAAAAGAGGGATCCCAATGTAGGTATGTCACCATAAAAAAACTAAGTTTACTTGATTCTTGTTGTTTAACTACCTTTTAAAAGTTTCTGATGTGTTCTCCTGAAGTAGAGATTGCATAAAAATATACAATACTCAAATGCATTTTATGGTTGCAGCTTTGCAGGCGCCAACCAAACTATTTTGCATCTTGTATTCAAGCTTCTGAAGAACCTAAGGTTTCAGTCATAAAAAAAGAATCTGAGGTTGTTCGAGATTCTCTAGTGTGGACTTTGTATTCAAGCCTTCGTTTCATTTATGACATTGCTTTTCTACACTTCTGCTTATGGTTTTAATACCGTGTCTGTACTCATGTACAATCTTTTGTTTTTGCAGATTTTCTTTGTACTGTCTGGTTGTTCGTTTGGTTCCCATAATCATATGGTACGTCAAAAGAAAGAAATGACTAAATTATTAGTTATGAGATTCATAAAACAGAGTGATGGTAATTAAGAAATTACATGTTTGATTTTGGATTTGTGGTTTTTCTTCTAAGAAAACTCAAATCTGCTCAGGAGAATGAGGTGACTAATGATTTCCCCTCGGTTATGCACGAATCTTTTTAACTTGTTTTACAGATAAACTGGTGGATGGCAACAATTAGGGTGCTGCTAAAATTGCAAACAGTGGCATCTTTGTTCGATGTAATGCTACCGACTCACACAAGCCATAAGTAGAAAGGATTACAAGGTCGCAAATCACTTCTTGTCATGTCCTTTTTCAGTCGTAGTCATGAACACCTGTCTCCTATTGTCTTGTCCAGAACAGATAGAAATACTTGTGTTTTGGATATTGATTCATAGATAGCATGAAATTAAGGTGTTAATTTTCATGCTTTCTAGTAGACAAATCCAATAAATTTTTGTTGCAACACTTATATTATAATTCACCTCTGACAACACGAGACAAATGATACTCTGGTCCATAGTCAAACTCAGATAGATTTTGTTGTAAACAACATTGAAGCTACTTCTATGCTCCTTTATGTCCTAAGATTTGCTCAAAAGAACCTTCAGTGATATGTCCATAACCAGAGTTTGCCACCAAGGATAAAAAGAAACTTCATTCCATAGAAAGTCTCCCATCTCATGTTGTAGTTATGCTTAACATCTTGCTTGTTTTCTAACGATTGCTCTTCGCTGATCCCCATACAATATACCACACATATGATTGTTTTCTAATGAAGTATTGGTGCAAAGAAAAGCAAAAGACCTGCTTAAGGAGTTTATTTCCAACAGTCAATTATAGCACATAGCTCCAAAAATTTTTTGAAAAACATTTTGTATATCAAATTATTTTTCAAATGAAGATTGAATCAACATATATCGCTTCCAGATAAAGATGGATCTCAGTAATCACGACATCATCATCAGAAATAAGCCTTCCAACTTCAACTGTATTGTTGAGGGACCTCCCGTGCAAGCTTATCCATGAATTGGAATTTCTTGTCAAATCCCCAACCAGGGTTGCTCTGCATTGTAATGTTAACAGCAGATAGTAAACATT